ACCCCTGGTAACTCCATACATATAACCCTGCATAGCTGCACTAAGCCTACAGACACAGAAATGAAAAAATCAACTTGTTTCAAAATTAAAGTCTAGGCTTCCTTTACGCTTCTTTAGTTTTTAATCCAATGCTGGTTGCTGCTACAGGATACGACACTGCATTCTGTCCTATGCACCCTTCGGCTGTCCTTGGCTATGAATTTCTCGACTATGTTTTTGTTGATATTGAGAGTATTAAGGCATGCTGGTGAAGTATTTTATAGATAATCCCTCAGCTGAGACCAGCCTGATGTTTATCTCCTGATTAGATGGGGTGATGAGTTTTTCAGGGAATGCGCTACAAGGGGTAAACATGAAGCTAACTGTTGACAATGACCTTAAGGATCTGGCTGAGGGAAGATGTCAGGTGTTTATAATGTGAAGTCAATTCTTTATTCCCCTTTATGTACTGCTCTCTCTGTAGGGAAGTCAGCAGGCTCAGCCCACAATGACATAGTTGGGAGTTATGTTTCACATCCTTAAAGTATCTACATAAATTATTTGAAATTCTTATGTAATAAAATGTCTATCTACCCTTGTTTCTATTTTTACTTATTTTTTTTTATATGGACCCATAGAAATCTATTTTACAGTTTTTTTTCTAAACATGGCCTTATTTTCTGGCACCACAGCATTCCACAGTGTATATTTCCTGCACCGATCCTATAATCAATACAATTTTTAAAAATATCCCTTTTGAAAAAACAAAAAAAAAATAGAGAATGGTATTTGAAACCAATATATAGGCACTAAGTATATTTGTAGGTTTAAGCCCTCTCAGCAGAGCAAAAAAATACATGTGTTTATATTATTATTAGTTCTATGGATTCAATGAACTATAAAGCATAGGAATTATCACTATGATACTCCTACTGAAGGGCACTTGTCAGTATATCAATATGTTCTTATAGGCAATAACTACCTCATAAGGTAATCACTTCCCATATTAGATATGATTTTAATTCTCTGAATAACTTGTATTTATTTGGTCCAATTCTGACTACTAAAATAATATAAGACAAATTCTCTATTTGACATTAATATTCTTTAATAAAACACTCTGTAGTATCAAGCCTATCCATGTCCACTTGATGCTGCATTAAGCAAACCATTTTTTTTAATTCCTTTCTTCCCATGTCATAGTTTCCCAGTTCTTCTACAGCATGGTTGCTCCAAATAAACTTTAGTTTAAATCAACATGTAAAATTCAGATCTGAATACAATGCTATAGAGGTTCATCCATTTGACAACACACCTCCTTATTAATCATTATATTTTAACCGTCAAGTCAGAAATGCTGCAGATTTCTCAAGCTCAAAATAGCCAAAATTAAATTTATCTTTTCCTTTCTCCAATAACTCTATCAATTTTGGCCTAAATGACAAAAAAAAAAACCCACAAAAACCTGGATAAATAATTTCTTGCAGTACCAAATTTATTTCTTGCAGTACCAAAGTCTGTCATTAAAATGCTATCGTGGTCCAGTTCTTGTGAGGGCCCTCTTCCAGGTTGCAGATGACTGTCTTTTCTTATATCCTCATATGGCTAAAGAAGTGAGAGAAGTCTCTGAGGTCTTTTGTATAAGGGCCTTAATTCCACTCATGAGGACTCCAGCCTCATGACCTAATTACTACCAAAAACCCAATGTAATAACTCTATCATATTGGGGTTAGAATTTGAACATATGAATTTTGGAGGAGCACAAATATTCAACTCACACATTTATTTCTATACTTGATTATACTCCAACTGCATTTCTCCTCCTAATTTTCCTGTGTCAGTACCTAGACTAGTAATATCTACTTATTTGCTACTACCATGCATTTCCTCTCTATAGAATTCACTTGACCATTAAATTTACTATGCAGTTTAACAGTCCACATTTGTGTCTGAACTGCTGGAATTTAAATTCTGGCTATGCCCTTAACAGGCAGGTGGCCTTTCACAAGTAGCCTAGACTCCCTGAAACTCATGTTTCCTAATTTGAAAAATGAAAATAAAAGTAACACTTCACTCTAGCAGGATTAAGTTAGTTTATATAAAGTACTTAGAAAATTGATCAGCCCATATCCCATAGTGAGTATAGAATAAAAGTCAGCTGGTATTGTCATTATTGTAAACTCCATAACATCTAACAGAACTCTGTTTTCATCATTATTATCACTGCCCATTATGTCCAAGCCCTTCATTATTCTTACCTAAATTACTGTGATAGCTTCCAAACTGATTTCTCTGCATCCCATCTTGCCATATTCTTGTTTTTATAACTTTGATGATATCATCTCCTAATTTCAAATGCTTTGATGCTTTACTACTATCCTTGGGAAAAATGCAAATTGTTGAGCATAGCATATTAGACCCTAGATAATCCAGTAAATTTCTCTAGCCACCTTTATCCCCTCTAAACTCCAAACATGAGTGTTTGAGCCACATTAATTTTTCCTGTCTTTTCTCCTAGCATGTCATTGATCAACTTTGAATTAGCTCAAAACCAGATGTTCTCTTTTTTAAAGCAGGTTACTCAAGTTGGCCAAAACACTCAGACCCTGCTGCCCACTCAACCTATCTTAGGTATTCCCACTTTCACACACAAAAAAAAGAGAAGAACTAAAAGGTATTGATGCTTTCATACAGGAATGTTTCCATGGAATTTTCTATGTGTCTGTTTTAGCAATAAACACACTGATCACTGCAATTCCAAAGTGTAGTTGGAAGATCAGCATCACTGTCATCTAGGAGTTTATCAGAAATGTTAATTATCAGGCCCCACACAGACCCAGAGAACTCAAATTTCCACCAGTGGCCCAGGACTCCGTTTTGTGACAACTTGTCTGGGTGATGTGGTGGCATGCCATTGTTTCAAAAGCTCTAATGATGATTTTACCAACTATATTTTAAGACATGCTAGAGTCAAAAGTTATGTTAATGCAAATATTAGTTACTAATCACATTAGACAAATAAGGCAATCCTAAAAAAATTGATAATGGTAAATCTAAATTATTTATAATTCATTAACAAAATAATACCTGGGCCATAGCACAAGCCCAGGTATTAAAGTCTTGGCTCCCACATTGGAGCTATTTGGATGTGTTGGAAACTTTAATTGGTGGGGCCTAGTGAGAGGGCTTTAGGTAACTGGGGCATTTCCTGGAAGGGGGTTGTGAAACTCTGATCCCTTCCTCTTCTCTTTTTGCTTCCAGGATTTGAGTTGAATGGTTGTACTCTGCCATACACTCCCCCAGGGTCCCTCAGAATGGTGGACTGAAACATCTAAAACAGTGATCCAAGAAGAATCTTTTCTTCTATAAGTTGATTATCTCAGGTATTTGTCATAGTGACAGAAATCTGAGTACTACAAGCACCATGCTTAGTTGAAGAATGCCTAGCGGATACACCAATAACAAAGTAGTCTGCCACAGACAGTAATTCCAGCCACCAGTTTTATGGACCTGAGCAACTAGAGATCCACAACATATCCAGTTTTTTCATACTCTGACTTCTGATACAATATTAGAATATTTTGTAGCTTCCAATAACGAGCTTAATTTTGCAAATAGCTGCTGTTTTAGTAATCCTTAATTTTAAAAAGTGTGGGCTATTAGTAAGATACTAATTGTCCAAGAAGGTAGAAACCCATGAATATTTTTAAATCATGGGAATTAAAGAATGGATTTATATTTGAGGATTAATTTAAACCTCCAAAATATAATGCTTGCCCATCAGAAGGTAGCCAACCACTTTGGGAATCACTGCTCTAAAGAGCCAAAAAAATCTTAACAGCCTTTTTATGTGAGTAAAACTACCTGTAGCAATTTAACGGTTCTCCTATAGAAAACTTCCCTTCTCTCCCTCTTCTCCAAATTTTGAAGTGCTCATTCTTCCTCATGCTTCCTCTAGCATCCTGTGAAAAACTTTATAATTATACTTATTGTGTGGTGAGTAATCTGTTCACATGTATTTTGCACACTATGAGGAACAGGTGTGAGGATTCAGAGTCTTTTTTTAGCACCTGGCAAAATTAAATGGCACATAATTGATACTTAAAATTTAAATTAGAGTTTATTACTCTATTAGTCAAAATAAAGCCTCTAGTCAATTAAAACTGAACTACTACATGATCTACTGTAAAATGCTTATCTCTTTTAAATTTATTCTTGTACATTCTTTATCTATTCTAGCCTGTCATGGTCTTCCCTGAGCTGAATTCTGACTAGGTTAAGAAAGGTGTAGCCAAAAAAGTCTAGGTTCATATATAACCAGTCATTTATTATGCCTATCTATTCTTAGCTTTTTAATTTAATTTCACTAAATCTTTATTTTGATCATCATATCTATTTTTAGCTATATCACATAATTCATATTCAGTAATTTTGAAAATAATTAACATTTCCCATTTTGAAAATCATGCTTTAATGATGACAAATTTCACACGGAATAAGAAATTATGCTTAAGGACAGTATGACCAACATGAATTCTCTATTAGTTCATTTATAATCTGGAATGAGAGCACTTTCTATGAGAATTTCATATGATTTTTGGTCATGATTGATCATAAATCTTACAAAATGTTCAACAACTGTAAAAACCAAGAAAACAGTAAATTAAAATTGTAACAAGTTATGGTACAAAGAACTATATTGCATAATATGGGCTGGATGTGCTCTCTCAAAACTCATATGTTGAAATTGTACCTTTGGGAGGTAATTAGGATTAGATAAGGTTAGAAGAGTGAATGGGACAAGTGCCCTTAGAAGAGTCATGAGAGAGAAAACACCTCTGCTCTGCTCTCCACCATGTGCAAATACAAGATGGTAGCATAAAACCCAGAAGAGAGCCCTCACCAGACTCAACCATGCTGGCACGTTGACCTCAGATGCACAGCCTCCAGAACCAAGGGAAATATATTTATGTTGTTTTAAAACCTTCTACTCTATGGTAATTTGTAATAGTAGCCCAAACTATGATACTGAGAATCAAAAAATCCAGATTTGAATCTCAGTTTGATTAATAAACACATACTGCCTAACTCTAACATAGAAATTTAATATTATTATGTTTAATATTACTTCCAAATGTAACAATGAAAGTACTTGTCCCACCAGGTGACTATATACATTAAATAAATTAATATACACTTTTCATAAGCCTTCATAAATAATTCATAATATTATTCTATACTAACAGACATGGGAACATTGCGTAATTCACCCAAAGTCAAGTCTACTTTTGTTAAACCAAAGTAAAAATATCTGCCTTGAGCCCTTATTATTATTTTCACCTGGGAGGCTTAAAGGACAAGGTCTTTGAACTCAAGACTCTTTAGCTACTGCAGTGGAGATCTAGTTATGTGGAGAAAATAATGTTGTAAAACTTAAAAAAAAAAAAAGACTGCCCATTTTGCAAACAATCTCCAAAGGGAATCCCTTAGAGTGCAACATAAGATTCAGAACAAGGAAAGGTATGAGTGCCCCTGAGGAATGGGAGACCACAGGCCCCTAGTTAAGGAGAAGATGATTCTCTGGGGAAAACAATCCATCTTTAAACTTCCTTACTTCTTCTCTAATCACTAATCATCTACATTAATTTTCTATTGTAATTACCAATACTATTACATTTTAAATCTCATATACTTTTGATATTTCAAGCTTATGTTAATACTATGCTTCCCCATCTAAACTTCAGTTTTTATTTTTTAAGTTTCACACCATTATTAACTTTGACTCAACTTTATTTTGTGGAACTGCAGTCTGTCTTGATCTTATTTGTTCCCCTACTGTTTTCTTTTAGACTTATCATTTTAAATAAATATTTATTTAATTCCTACCATTTAGAAAATACTATGTTGAGTGTTGTGTTCAAACTTACCAAGAACATAACTCCCACAGTGAGTTTACAGTTTCCTAGGACAAGAAAGCAGGCAAAATTCAGAACTTTTGAAGAATACTCAGATGTTGTAAAAACCCTCAGCACAGATACAGTTCAATTAGGAAACAGGTCCATGAGAAAGTCACATTTGAATTGAGATATGAGGGTTCATAGTTGGAGGATCAGAGAAGAAAGTTCAACAGCCAACTCCGCCCCTGGGCAAAGAGAAAGACAAAGGCTCCTATGAGGAATCTGGGACAAAAGGAAGAAAATAAATTTAAAAATAAATTTAAAAATAATTTCCTTTTTTATTTCAACGTGCTACATTCTAATTTAATGACTGTAATTATATTTCAGAAAACTAAATTATTATTTTTATTTATACTACTAGAAGAAATTACAAAGTTGAGAAAGAATGCATGACATTAAGTATGTGTATACACACACAACACATGATCTTGGAATAAAAAATACTGATTTCTAAAAACAAAAAAGTGCTTAAATAAATCAATATTAAAAATATACCATTATACAACAAAACATTCACTGATTTTTGTGATGCCCTGCTTTTCCTGAAGAAAACAAAACAAAACAAAGTGACAAATTCTTAGTGTGCAACCCACCGGGACACAGTTGGCAATAAGGGTGAGGAATACAGACTGTTTTTATTTCCTCAAATTAAAAAACAAAAACAAAAGCAAAAAAAAAAACAAATAAAATATCAAAACTTTTGGTGTTCACTTGCACTTTCTTAAATTCTAATATTGTATCACATGTTACATGTACAGGCCTATTTTTCCCCTAAGGAAAAGGTAGACCAATATTGTTAGCTACAGTTCATCATTCTATGTAACCTAGACTTAACAGATGAAAAGAAGCAATATGTAAAATATTTTTAACTAGCATACACAGTTATGCATAGAAATTAATTTTCAAATAACATTGGTCTACTGAGAAACTCTAATTTCCCAAAAAAGAAATATTTTACATAAAACCTCAACTTCTAAAATTCTGTGCAAAAGGTTAAATTAATTTTCTGTTCTAACATTTGAAAATGCACTTTAGTATTCTGCATTGTTATAGAGTTCTAAACATACTTATTCTAAAATCCATTCTTTACAAATTAATTTCATTTAAGAATGGGTAAGGACCATAATTTAAGTTAAATATTAGGCTAGATACAAAAACAGTTTCTTGAACCTTAAAGAAACCACATTATCTTGTAAGGAAAAAAAAGCATTAAAAAAAGGAAAAAGCTAAAACACTGGCTGCTTTTAGGCAAAAATGTCCTGGAACTGGAAAAAAAGGAATGAACATATTTGTACACATTCAGAAATTCAACACACTTTGTGCTAAACATGGGGCTTGCTTCTGAACAGAATTTGGTTTCTAAATGGTAATTAACACTTTTCAAGTCAACTTATTTTAATGGGACCAAGTCTGAAGGTAAAAAACAAAAAAAGAGAACATGTCATCAAAATTAGCATGACAGTGCTAAATTTTTATTAAACATTCAATCAGGTTTATACCTAATTTTTCCTTTTTAGTCATGTAAAATGTGTGGCAAGTCTGTGGAATATATATATTACTTGCTAAAGAATATATATTACTTGCTAAAACTTTCTTCCAACGAGCACATATCTACTCATAAATAATTATTTCCAGACAAATGGGAAAGGGAATTGCACTTCTTTGACTAAATTATCCCATATATTTTCCTAGCACTGAAGAAGAGGGAAGACATGAGTATAAAAGTGTCTTTAAAATGTTCCTCCTTAGTGCTTCGTTACTGTCTGAAAGCTGTAAGAAAGATTCTAATTTTTCAACCTAACTTCCTTCCCTAGTGTGAATGTGTAAAGTGGTGGACAGTACACATAGGATAGTGTATTAACGACAACAGGGGAACTCTGTCAGAAGTTCTAGAATAAAATGGTCTGGGCCATTTAGACAGAAGGGAGAAGATTGCAATTTCAGTAGAAACTGAAAATTAATTAGTCTTACTTAAAATTTTAAAAAAAGAAAATTACTTTACTTCAGAGACAGAAAAATTGGCTTCCTACAGTTACAATGTACCCATGTTAAGAGTAAAATTACCACCTTAGTTTCTTACAGGCCTCTATAGAAGTACTCAGAAGAGAGCCTTGATAGAAATTACCAAAGATATGTACTTAAAAGATGTGAAATCATTCCATCCAAAGCCATTAATGGAAGGCAGCAGAGGTACTAATAGGAGTCAAAATGATATCCAGGAAGGAGGAATCTTATATTTGTTATATGAAACTGTTTATAAAACATATTGTACCAGGAAATATGATTTTATTATAATGACTGGGTTATTAATCTAAAAACATCATATTGAAGAGCAAATTGAGATCTACAACTTTTGATAAAAAGCAAAAGAAAATGCTGCAAAGCTAGGACAAAATCTTAAAATAAAATGGGGCAATATCTAGTTTTGCCACATCTACTAGCTTCAGAGAACTTCATGAAAAAACACTTACCTTCACTTGTAAATACCACAAAAAAATTAAAAACTAACTTTTAAGTTTCATGTTTCATGTTTCAAAGGATATACTGGTTCAGGCAGAGACAACATTTGACTTCTGAGCATATCCACAAAGTCAGATTTTCCTTCCAAGAATAGTTCTGGATCAATTGTTTGTAACTTAACTGCCTAACCAAAGAGAGCAAGAAATGAGGAACATGATATTTCTGCTTCAGGTAAAATGCATATTTCCCTTTCTTCCAGCTTCTCAGAATTTACAGGGTCAGATATGAAGATACTCTTAGCAAAATAGGTTGCTCCATCTTAGAGTACCAACCAAGGCAGTCTAATTTTTAAGATGAAAAACATATAAAACTAAGCCACCACACAAAGAAAAACATTTCCATAGGAAAAAAAAATGGGGGGGGGGGTTATTCAGCTGGAAAAAAAGAAAGCCATAAGATCCATAGTTAAACTGAATTGGGGGCATTTACTGATTAGCAGGTACTCAGTGGGATGTTGACAAATATTCTTTTTTGTTGTTAATGTTTTTGATAAACTTTTATTTTATTAATTTATTTGTATGCAGTACTGAGGATCAAACCAGTGCCTCACACATGCTATGCAAGTACTCTACCAAGGAGTTACAACTCCAGCCAATATTCTTTTAAGTCATACAAAACTACTACGATACAGATATTTTCATCTATATTTTACTGATGAGAAAAGTAGGTTAAGAAATCAAATAAAGCATCCTAGGTCATGCAGCCAAGATGGGACTTACTAGGATTCACTCTCCATCTCTCTGATGCCAAGCCTCTATACACTCTGTCAAGTCCACATCTCCATTAACTAATATCGCTGCTTGGCTTCTACCTGTGGACCAACACCGCAAAGAACTCTACAAAAGAAAAAGAAGACATTATCTTTGCACTCCAGGCAGTTAATATCTATGAGGCATTCAGAAGAGTCAGATGCCCAGTTCACCAAGAACAGTGTGGTATATCAGAAGACAACTGGATAGAGAGAGGAATAATTCAGTGACTCTTGGTTTTGCTATTTATTAGTCATAAATAATAATTCTATTATTTTAAATCTCTCTTTAATTGTCTTATTCTAAAGAATCTAATTATAATCTCTCCTTTATGTAATTTGGTTCCTACGCATAAAATCAAAGATTTCTATTACCTGTAGAGACAGAAATTTTCTAATACCTGTAGAGACACAGGGCAAGACATAAGAATCAGCATTTTGTGTTTTCCCAAATTAGTCTTACAAATAGCAAAATTATCAGAGTGAATTTTCACATATTTAAATTTTATTCAAGATATTTTCTCTATAGTATCATCTGAAACATTTTATAAAATTACCAAATTAAAACTTATTAGCTCTCTTTATTTGAACAAATGCCTTTATTTTCTAGCATTAACAGATAATTCCTTCAACCAATACTATGTTTACCTTGGTTTGTCATAATTTACTTAGATATAATTCATGGGAGAGTGGAACTGATGCATCAAAATACAAACTAAATTGCAGGACATGGTGGGACATACCTGTACTCCCAGTAGCTGGGGAGGCTGAGGCAGGAGGATCTCATGTTCGAAGCCAGTTTCAGCAAATTAACAAGGCCCTAAAAAACTTAGCAGGACCCTGTCTTGAAACTAAATAAGTAAGTAAACAAATAAACAAACAAGAAGGGCTGTGAATATGGTTCAGTGATTAAGCACCCCTGGGTTCAATCTCTGGTACCAACAAACAAACAAACAAACAAAAACATACTAAATTTACTTTGACTACTGCACATTGAAATTTAAGAACTATGAAAGTGACTAAGTTTTCTTGTTGGAAAATGTGATTAAAACAAGAATATATATAGTTCTTTATGAAAAAAAAATCTACAAAATGTACATCTTATTCGTTTTTCAATTAAATTTTCCTTAAATTTGAATCACATTTGCCATCAAACTGTATTTTCACCTCTAGTTGTATTTCCTCGACCTCCATTAACATTTGTCATAAAAATAAAAGAGAACTTCACTCTGAAGAAAACCATAATAGTTCAATAGCCCTAAGTAGCTTAGCGGCCCTCATACCTGAGTAATTAAGTCTTCTTGCACTTTTTTGTTATTTAGGTCACACAAATATTGCAATTAATGTAATGAAACAACAGCCTTGACTGTATTTCCTCAGACAGCCAAGTCCTGACTCATAAGTACTTCATTTTTTGTTGCCTTAACTCTAAAAGAGAGTAGACTGTATTTTTCCTAAATGCTTTATTGAAAAATCCTTTTCTGAAAGCCTTCTGACTATGACATTGGTAAAGTACCATGTATAAGATTATAAAAAGAACTTTCATTCAATAGAGCAGCAACCACCTGAGCCAATGAATCAAAACTTTAAAGACTCAGAAATAAAAAAATCATATATTTTAGAAAATATTTCATATTTTCTGAAGTTATTTCTCAAGTAAGAGCAAAATTATAAAATAGCAGCATGTCTTCTGAGCCTTAAAATGTTAATGGCTTTCACATTTTAAAGACATTTTATTTAGTCAAAGAAAACTCAAATGATTTCAAAGGGGGAAATATGGGCTGGGTATTATGGGTTAGTTAAATATCAAAAATCACAAATTGATTATTCAAGATATTGAATATGGCAACAGAAATGATTAAAAATGCAAGTGAAAAAAAAAAGAAATGATGATGTTCAATTTACAGCTCTCATAACAAAACATAACACATTATTCCTACATTAGACTTCCTGTCAAAAAAAAAGAGAGAGATGACTTTTGAAGAAGAAAAAGGGAGGAGTGTGTGTTTTGGTGTCCCACAGTTGACTGCCTGGCTGGGGGTTGTGGTTTTGCCCATAGCAAGGAAGAAAGAACATCAGGGAAACTAACTGGACTCTCATTCTTTGTCTTTTCATCTGTCTCCCCCATATCCTCCAGCTAACACTGTGTAATCTACAAAGTATACATCAAACATAAGAACAGAAATATTCCCCCAGAAAGACTCTATAAGGCAGGTTTTGCTCTTTCAAAAAATATAAGAAATACCAGAATCCATAAATGAATAAAACAAAAAACTACCTAAAGAGCCACTCTAAGTAAATACAGTTGGAAATCCTTCTTACACAAAGGCGCACAATCAAACCAAGTAAAACAGCCTTGCTGACTGTAAAAGCCCTGTTGTGCTCAGCTTTCACATGTCCCTTTCCAGCCAGGTGCTCACTCATCTCCTTGCACCAAGGCCTTAGCCAACCATATCCTGACTTATAGCAAGCAATAAAATGCTCTCAGGTGTGCTAAAAACTTTATCTCATAATAAAATTGCTTCTGTACTCTGCAAGTTGTGATGCTTCATTACTCTTCTACCTATCTAGGGATATTCCTGACATTTAATTTTTTGCCCCAACCTCGGTGAAAATGATATGAATGTTCTTTGTTTCTTATCTAACCCCTATGACTCAGCAAGACGTTGTACTTTTGTACTCCGTATTTATATTGCAATATTAATCATGCAAAAGTCAAGCATATAATGAAATAATAATTTCCTTTCTTTGAAGACTTCATAAGAACTACTACTTTAGAATTAATTACAGCAAAATGGGAGTAACCATTTCATGGAAGAGCTTTTGACAGAATTCTTAGAAGTCCAAGTCAATGTTCAGCTTAAAATTCCAAGCAAGTGAATGAAACCTGGCATAGATTTTAGTAATGGAGTTTGAAAAAATATGGCTATATTTATATGAATAAATTTATGTGTCTGTATTTGTCAAAATAGAGTCCATCAGCTAAAACTGGCCCACTGCCTGATTTTGAACAGCATATGGGGTATGGTTGAAAAAAATATAAAAAGTATATGAAAAAAAAAACCTTACTGGATCACATCTATGCTCATCCATTTAGGTATTCTACATAGTTGTTTTGTTACAATGGCAGTGATAAATAGTTTCAACAGACTGAGGATGAACATTAACCATCTAGCCCTTTACCAAAAACTACTGTTGACCCCTGCTACATATAATAACTTTCCATTAACCTCTAAAATCAAAAGGGGCTTAGGCTATATCATCTATTAAAAATTATAATTATTAGAAAAAAAATTATGACCTTTCAGCACTAACAAAGAAACTAATGAAAAAAAATAGGACATATTCAAAGCAACACAAAAATTACACAGGAAGTATTCAACCTCAGAAATGACAAAAGTGGTAAGAAATAGTACAGAAATATGACTGAAGAATACCAAAAAAAAATTCCAAGGATATTTCAAGATCTTATTTAACTGTGGAAAAATATTAAGGAAAAGTTGAGCCTGCTATTTGGTGATAATGGAATATTATCCTCAGATAACTGAGATGCATCAGAACTTCTTGAATTCTAAGTGATTTTTACCATTTTCACCAAAAAGTTAACATGTTAAAGCTGCAGAGAATATAAAATATGATTAATAAGAAAATCAAAGATAAGGAATTAATGAGGTGACAAGTCTCTTTAAATAAGACCAGATGTTATAAGACCAGTGGATGATAGATTTTTCAAAAAAACAAGTTCATAAGTTTTATAACAGAATCATAGTCAATAACTTCAAAAGAATTACAACAAGAGAAGAGACACAATACATACTAGTGGCAAAAGATTCTGTAATATTTTTTAAGTTAAAGGAATTCTAGAAAACCTAGATCAATGAGTTTCATACAAATTTCTAGAACAGATTATTAAGCAGATGGTTTGTGAGCACTTACATTGAAAAAAAAAAAAAAGAACATGCTCTGCCATGGATTTGTTAAAAATAAGCCATGCCAAATCTTGTTTCCTTTTCCTACATTGTTCCTAGATAAGTGGATCACAGAAATGTCTTAACTGCACAATATTTGAATCAAGAAAATATGGAGAAAATCTCTTGTGGCCAACTTGGAGTTAGTCCACTCATTACTTGTTTAACTTTGGAAAATTTTTTAACATCTGAGATGAGAGGCAAATTCCCAAAGGCCTCTCCTATCCTTGAATTTTCTGCAAGAAGTAGCCCTGTCAGTTTTTGTTCTGCACTTTGTATGCATGTGTGGATGTGGTTCTGGGATCTAACCCAGGACCTCATGCATACTAGGTAAGCACCTTACCACTAAGTCAGCCACAAAACCAGCCCTTGTACTACCTTTGCATGTATCTTTTTGAATACAAAGTCCTGGAATATAGAGACACTGTCTCCTTCTGGAATAAGGGACAAGTTTACTCTGTCCATTATAAAAGATTATATTTTCTAAATTGGAGGTTTCTCATCTTAATCAACCCAAGCTACTCTGCAGAGCCCCTGAGGAACTTGGGAATCAAGGGAACAAAACCAAACATGAAGCTCATACTACCTGCTGTACAGTGAGTACTAAGGTCTTCTGCTTCTGACCCAGGGTCTTTTGTAGTCTATAAGCAGCAATAAAACAGTGACTGTCTAGTTAATTAGCTGGCAAGTATTATAAAATACCAAGACTTTTACATTACTTGAAA